GTGGTCTAACCCGATCCAACATATACTGATCCGGGTCGTTCGAATCCGAAATAGACCCGGGGCAGGATGGTTCGGTGCCACTTGCTCTGTCCGATTTGAGTCGTCCAGTCCAACCAATATTTCACACTCCGACCCGACTCGGTACAAGTCGATCTGGGTCGACCCGAATTCAAAAGAGTTTTGGGCGGGATGATTCGGCCTCTACGTGCTTTGCCCAATCTGGATCCTCCATCCAAAAAATATCCACACGACCCGACCCGAATCCGGAATGTCCCGATTTAGCTACATTGACCCGGTTCGGGTCAGTCGGTCCGGTCCCAAACCTGTGCACAAACCTGATATGGTCCTGTCCAAATCTATCCACCATTGATTGAACTGGTCCGATCCAATCGGATTGATCCAGATCTAAATGGTTCAATCACCCTTGAACCTAAGTGGTTTAAGTTGGTCTGACCGGTTTGAACCTAAGTGGTTTGGTCAAAGCTGAAATCCGAACATAGTCAAATGGCTTTGCTGCTTGTGTAAAAATAACATGCATGTAATGTGATTTGAACCTTCACCACTTATGTAAATAATAACTATAATAACCACCAAGCAACCAACTTATTTGTTAAAAAAGAGAGTTTATTTTTTAAGTCCATAAATATAAGATTAATGAGTTTGGGCAGCTTGGATTGGGTTAAAGCAGGTTTGGGTTGAAACCAATCCATTTAATTTTATATTATTGGGTCATTAATGGGTTGGCAGGTTAGATGGATTGGGTTTAAACTCAACCCAAACCAAACCCAACCCAACCCGCCCAATTGCCACCCCTACACATAATCATCCTGCCCATTTTTCTTAGATTAATAATATCCCACACACCTCACATTTCTCATGTTTTCACCAACCTTTAAATAGATCCCCTTTAAGCCATATGCATCTTTCAATTCCCTCGTTAGCATACAACCCAACTGACCTCACTTCATTTAGTCATTAGTTCACTGTATATCATAGTTTTTAAAAACGAATCGGTGACCAAATCGATCAGGGGTCCGATTATCGATTCAAACAGTCCGATCGTTCGATCCGAACGGCCGGCCCATTCTGACAAAAAAATTAAAAAATTGGAAAACGGTCAAAACCGTTCGAACGGTTAACCGGCCGGTTCAGCAGTTTGTTGACCAAAATCAACGATTTTGGAGGAAAACAGAACCGATCAGGTGACTAGTTCCCGATTTTTCCAATCCGGTCCGGTTTTGAAAACAGTGTTTTATATAGCTATCACATAGCATTTGCATTTTTTTCGGCATTCATTCTCCTTTTTAGAATTAATTATCTTATTTACAAATCTTTTAATTTATTATGGCTTTAAAATTTAAAATAATACATAGTCTTTTTGTTTAATCTTGTATTAGCGAAGGGGCCATTGATTTGTAGGGCTTGGAATTGTAACATTGCTATTTGCTACATTAAAAAAGATAATGATTTCTTAATAAGAAACTTAGAATTATAAGTATTTAAGTCTTGAAACTCATATAAAGACATAAAAGATATCATCATGTGCTTGTTTTTTAAATATTGTGTTAGCAAAACATCTCATATAAAAGAACATAATCATACAGTGATAGTTGTGAGTTCTACTTCATAGCTATCCTTTATTTCACATCGAGAACTCTCAGTTGACCCGGATGGTAGGACCGTTCGACCCATGAATTATCCAGGAAACTAGTTCCGTTTTACCCCAAACCCGATTCTTGGCCAAAAATTGTTGAATCAGTCAACAACCCGTTGACCTGGGCGGTCGAACCGTCAACACGTTTAACGGTTTTGGCTATTTTTTTAATTATTTTTTTTATTTTTGTTGTTAGAACAGGCCATCCGTTCGAATAGGACGGTTAAACCGTCAACCTAGAAACCGGTGGCTAGAACTGTTCTATTTCCTGGTCGTTTTTTTAGATGTCAATAATTAGACGAAATAACTTTATAGTCATAGTCATGGGAAGGGTGGACATTGAAAGGGATTCCAAAATCTTGAAAGATAAATCTGAAGTAACCTTAAACACAGAAAAAATTGGCGATAAATCCACAAAACTGGAAAAACCAAGGAAAAAATCAAAAAATCGAGTCCAAAGTACTGCTTTGAGGTGGAGCTAAACATACATGCAATCAAAAAAAGAGACAAAACAGATCACCTTATAAGAAAAAAAAAAAGCATTGCACAAAAAAAAAACTCAGAAAAAAAAATGAGAATAAAATAAAATGGTGGTAAACCCTAGACTGTTTTGGAGGATCTTGAAGAAGAAGACCAAACACACAAAAAAAAGGAACATACTGCACATGCTCGAATAAAGCCCACAGAAATCTTTGAATAGTGAAAATCCAAAAGCATAAAAAACCATGGTTTGAACCGTTGTTGACTCGGACGGACAGACATTTCGGCCCGGGATTCGTCCAGGCAACCGGTTCCATTTTACTCCAATCCTGGTCCCTGGCCAAAAACCGTTGAATCGGCCAACAACCCATTGACCAGGGTGATCGAATGGTCGACCCGTTGACCCGCTCAATGGTTTTTTGCCTTTTTTTTATTTTTTTTAATTGGAAACCGTCTAGGCAACTGGTTCCATTTTTTCCCAATCCCGGTCCTTGGCCAAAAACCGTTGAATCGGTCAACGAACCATTGACCCAGACAATTGAACCGTCGACCCATTGACTCATTAAATGGTTTTTGGCCATTTTTTTATTTTTTAATTTTTGTTGTCATAACGAACCATCCGTTCAAACCAGATGGTCGAACCGTCAACCTGAAAAATCGGTGGCTAGAACAGTTCCGTTTTCGGGTTGTATGAGTCACATGCTCGAATGACATAACACATATGATACTGCTTAATGGACCTTACACAATTTTTTGCCTATATTTTTTGTCATCAGAACGGGTTGTCCATTTGAACAAGACGGTCGAACCATCATTTTTTATTTTTTTAATTGGGAACCATCCAGGCAACTGGTTCCATTTTACCCCAATCCCAATCCCTGGCAAAAAACCGTTGAATTGGTCAATGACCCATTGACCCGAGCAATCAAATCGTCGACCTGTTGACTCGTTCAATGGTTTTTAGCCGTCTTTTATTTTTTTTTAATTTTATTGTCAGAACGGGTTGTCCATTCAAACCAAATGGTCGAAACGTTGACCCAAAACCGGTGGCCAGAACCATTCCGTTTTTGGGTTATATGAGTCACACGCTCGGATGACAAAACACGTATGATACTGCTTAATGGACCTCATACACTCAATGTTTTACCTATAACTTTTGTTGTCAAAACGGGCCATCCATTTGAACCAGACAACCGAACCATCAACCCGAAAACTAGTGGCCAAAATGGTTCCGTAATTTTTTGACTGTAATTTTTGTTATCAGAACAAGTTGTCCATTCAAACCGGAAGGTCGAACCATTGACCCAAAAATCGAGTAACATATAAGATATATAAGATTCCTTATGTTTGTTTCTTGTATTTGAGAATTTTCAATGAAATATATATATATATATACACCTTATTTCATTTATCATGTTTGGTCAAACCCAAAATTGTTAAAATCATCTTTGGAATATTAATAAAATAAAGTCCGATTTAACCAGACATGTGTGAGGTGCCTAATACCTCTTCACACCGTACTTTGATCCCCAAACACTAAGAATCTCCTCCCCACTCTAAGTCGGGTAGCCACACCATCGACCTTCACCACATTGCGGAGTTCGAATTTATTCTACCCAAATCCCACCCACAAGACACTACAGTTGTACATTGGGAGCATCACTCATACTTGAATGTTCTGTATGTGCAACCGGACTGGATCGAACGGTCAAACTGTTCAACTCTGGGAACTGGTTAGTTGTCTGGTTCCATTTTATGCTTGACCCGGAAATTTCCAAAAAACAAAATCGTTGTCGGGTCATTTCATTGTTTTAATTATTTATTTATTTTTATATTTCAAAACATTATGGGTCAATCCATTCGGACCATATGATTAAACCACTATCCCATAAACCGGTGGCCAAAGTGGTTCATTTTTCAGGTTGGTTTTTAAAACTTGTTCGTAGATAAAAATCTGAGTTGGTGTATCATGTTAACCCAAATTGTAGATCTGCATGTGTGTGTTAACAACTTACCATTAAAGCCATATTTAGAGGAATTCAACCACTATACAGTGGGACCGAGCGTGAAAATCATCTAATGCCTAAGAAACCCCTTAATAAGACTTTGGGTAAAATATAAAAACCTCTCCTGAGGCTTTTGAAAATCATAAAAACCTTTCCTATGATTTTATTTTCACAAAAACCTCCATTATAATATTAAACATTTGTAGTTACCTCCCTTTCTTTATTGTTAGGGACAAAAAATGTTGGTCTAATGCATTAATTTTTCAAAAATACCCATTTTATTCTTACATCTATCAATTTACATAAAAATCTACAAAAAAAAGTCTAAAATACCGTTAAGAGAATTTTTCACTTTTAATTAAAAAGGATCTCCCAGCTAAATTGAAAAGAATGAAGTGATTTTATAAAAATATTAGGTCTAGTGAAGTTTTGAAGGACAAATCTAGCATTTTAAATTATATGAAAGATTCCCTAATAAGTTGTAAAGGTAATTTCGCAACTTTGAAGTCTTCATTAATGAAACAAAGATAGAAGGGAGATAACTGCAAGTTTTTGGTAATTATAGGGGAGGTTTTTATGAAAGTGAAACCTCAAGGAAGTTTTCATGATTGTCAGAAACTTCAGGGGAGGTTTTAATATTTTACCTTAAGACTTTTTAACTAACAAAGTCATTAATTGTTAATTAAGAAAATAAAATACTATAAAAAGAGGAGAAAACCATAAGACCTAATAGAGCTTCCCGGAATTTAAAATACAAGTGAAACTAAATAAACTGTGATTAAGAGGAAGAGAGAGAGATTTTTTATTTATTTTTTGTTGGGTAAAGGAAGAGATTGAGATCTAGCATGCACAATTCCATATCAATGAAAAGCATCATTTTTAGATTACATAAAAATAAGAAATTAAATGATATCACAACACAAAGAACCATAAAGAAATTTATTTTTTCTAGAACACTTGCAGATCAAATATTAATTTAATTAGTATTTATAAGTAACGTCTGAGATATTCATCTACTCTTGTGTACCGAACTTCTGGATAAAGCTTTGATGCCTCTTCTCCTTCAGGGCCTATTTCAAAATTTGTAAGGCAACCGTCAAAGTAAACATGGTAGTAGTGTGTTAGTCCAACTTGTTCCTCATAGCTTTGCCCTAATTTATTTCCAAAAAACCAAAATAAACATGAGAGAATAATACTATATATTTAAATGAAATGTGTGAAATTGAGTGATTTTACATTATAACAACCTATATTGAGAAGATAACCAATCAGGTGGGTTTTTATTTATGTCTTATTTGTTTAGAACTTTGTAATTTACCCAGTAAATGTGTAAATTCACTTACCCAAGTCTTTTAATTCTCAGGTTTTTCAAGTAAATAATAAAATTATATTTTTACCCATAAAAAGTTAATATTAAAATGGACAAAGTTGTCCTATCATGTTTTATAAAATTTCCCCCAATGTGGGAAAAGTTACTTACCCACCGGGGAGATGGATAAGTAACTTTTTATGACGAACCCATTCATAACACGAAAAGAGTGTGATAAAGTTGGTCAAAATGAAAAAGATACCCATTGACCAACTTCCTCCATTATTTACCAGTAAATGAATAAGGCCAAAATTCATTTGAAAGGGGGGTTGATTGGTCAAATCCCTTTTGGCATCATGTCCTTCCAGCATCATAGATTTTTCCAACTAATTAACATATAATCATTTCAAAAATTACCTTTCATGCTAGCTAAATATTCTTCTTCTGAGATTATGGATTTCTCCAACACTTTTCCAATTAGCTTCTCCCATATTTCAATAACCTGTCTCTGAGAGAGTATATTTTCAGGTGGTCTGAGGTAAACTGTTTTGTTCAGTGTACGTGGATCATTGATGGTTTTGATAGTATAAGCTGCGATGTCATCCTCGTCCAAAAATATTGCTGCCAAAGAAAACAAATTTTGGCAATCAAACTCTATATAATAAATTTCAAGTTTGATCTATGAATTATGCATTCACGATATACAATAAAAATTATAAAAGTAAACAAATGATTTCAATAATGATTTTAAATTGGTTACATCAAACTCTATATAGCTTAGGAATTCTTTCAGGTTGGAAGACCAAAATTGGGCATTTCTCCATGATAGACAAAAGCTAGAAAGAGTGAAAGACCTATGCCCTAAAAAGCTCACGAAAGGCCAAAATAGGCAAAAATCCTTTTAGCACTTAAAATCTTTCATTTAACAGTTTTGTAGACCATAGTAGATTATGATACTTACCAAACAGTCTAGATCTTTAAATACAAGATTTAAAATCTCACTACGGGCCCATTTGGCGTATCTTTCCGCACGGTATTTCGGCTGTTTACAAACCGAAAAAACCGATTTTCGATCTATTCCCGTTTGGCTCACGGAAGATCTAGCTGCCAAAAGACGGTGTGCCGAAAAGACACGAGAAGCCCATTTCGGGCAGATTCAAAAAACAGAATGGAGAAAAGGGTGAAAATTGGAATATTTTGATTAATAGACTAGCATAATGAATACAAAATTTTAATGTTTTACYATCTTTATTTAAGTGTAGGCTATATTGATACTTACATTTTTGATTGCCATCTCCAAACAGTACTACCTTATCTCTGGAAGGAAGTATCTTGCCAGGTTGACACAAACCTCCTACCATGTAGCCGGCAAAGCAATTTGCAGAGACATAAGTGAAAGGAATTCCGGCATCCCGAATTGCCTTCCTCACAACCATCTTGTCATCAAATGTCACTCTTCCGGGTTCCATGGCATCTCCCATTCGTGCTGGATCAGTGCCGAATTCCGATGGCAAGAAACGCTGCAATAATACGCTTATTTAAATTAAATGTTTTTTTCATAAAACTAGTTCGAATACAAATACAAATATGTAGAGTGCAAAACCTTGTATTTATACTATTTTGTGACCTCATCTATATGTGCATATCAATTCTTCATTGTTTGTGGTGCAAATCTGACCTAGATGCAAACTTTGCACCTGCCTCGATTTTGCATCTGTTTGTTGTAATTATAAATTCCTATTTAATATAAAACTTTTACTTTTTGTCTCATTAGACATTTGCTCTTACTGACAATGCAAATTTTGCATCCAAAAAACTGATGCAAAATTTGTACCACACCTTCCTCTCGCCTCAATTCTCTCATATAAGGTAGGAATCGTATTATCTTGCATCCTACTTCACCCCATACACGCAATCCTTCTTCGAAAAAAAAAAAAACTTTGGTTAATTATTCAAATTCGACAACCTAAACCATCAATAAGATTTTCCCTGTGTTATACATCATTTCATCCAGCAATACATCTAACACCAAGGAATTTGAGTATGATTGGCATCTTTAGCATTTCTCCAAATGCAAATATTAAAAGTATATACCCCAAGGTTCAAAATAATGCAATATATCAATGTTATCTTATCCTATATATCAATTTTTAGGGTCATCGATCGATTTTTTGAATAAAGGGCCTGTTTGTTTGATCTGATGTTAGATGTCTAAAAGTGCAATAATTACATTAAGAGGTATATTGGTATTAGTGATCTTTTATTTTCTCTGAATTCTAAAAGTAGAGAATGGTGATCTTTTTTTTTTGGTAAAAGTAGAGAATGTTCTTTAGAATTCTAAAAATGGTCAAATATCCATTTTAACTTCATATATGAGAATTTTTATTTATATTTTGAGGATATCATAGGAAAGCAAAAAGTTACAAGATTCCTCTTTAAAAGATAAAAGATAAAAGAGAAATAAACACCCATTCAATGGCCTGTTAATTTCCTCTTAATCAGGTGAAATATATATGTTTAATTGCTAGTGAACATATATAATGGGTGAAATCTATATGTTTTAACAGCTTGTGAACATCATACAATAATACAGCTCTGTATTGTTGGTGAGTAAGGGTGGATTCGAGCCGAGCCGAGCTGAATAGCTAGCTATTCGAACTCGACTCGCCAAGGTCGTACGAGGTTCGAGCTCAAGCTCGGCTCAGTCAAAAGCTCATAAGCTCAAGCTTGAGCTTGGCTCGAGTCAAAAGTGCATAAGCTCGAGCTTGAGCTCGGTTCGAATCGAAAGCTTATAAGCTCAACTTGAGAAAAATGTTTTATAAAAATAAAAAAGGAATTATATATAAAAAGCATTTTTTACTTGATATTTAAAACTAAGAATTATAATAATTATTTATTATTATATATAAAAATAAAAATATTATATCTATAATATTTTTATTATATATATTTTTTATAATTTTACTAATTTTACTATTATTATTATTATGTAGCTATTCAAACTCAGCTCGCGAGCCTCATGAGCCAAGCTTTATAGGCTTGAGCTCGGTTCGATTAATAAACGAGCCTATAAATTGGGCTGGTGGTTTTGAGACTGTGGACCCGCTACCCACCACAAAACATTGCAACGGTGCATTAGAAACATCACCCATCCTTACACAATTAGGGCAAAATAATGACAACAGTAACACAAACTTATGTTGTTGTGTTGCAGCTTTCTTGAGATGCTGACGCCTGATGAGACTTGAGAGAAAGATAAGACAAAGGAAAATAGGGGAGGGAAAGGAGAAGAAAATATTAAAAAATAAATAGAAGGATGAAATCCAACCGCACATTTGGGACTATCTCCCCATTAATTTAATTTAACACATGTATGTATGAAGATATTCTCAATATGCAACTGATATTCTGTGAACAGAGTTGTTATTTGTTCATGGGAGAGGCCCAAATTGCACCAAGGGTTTACAACACATGTAGTCTTTTTTTCTTTCAAAGAACACACTACTCTTTTCAAAGATATAGGTATACTATATTCGACCACCCGGATTTTGAAAATCACTATAAATCTAAGAATAATTAAATCAATTCAAAATAATTAAAAGAGCACAGAGCAATAGTGATGGATTTCATACACAGATAACTACAATATCTGATAATATTATGTACCACATTGAAAATTTAATACCCTACACGCAACACTCCCAATACCACCCATCAAATTTAATCCTTGAATTACCGTTTGGTTGATTGGAAAATGATTTAATCTCTCGATTCCTGGTCCTGTGCATGTAAAAACTAAAAACCATGGGATTTATTCTCACCTTCACATTTCCAGCTTCCTTGATGGCATCCACCAGCTTAAGCTGGAGGAGGATCTGGTGGCTCCTAATGTGCACGCCGGAGATTGCACAGATGACAACGTCGACCAACTTGACGGCATCGACGAGACTCTGGTGATCATTGAAAGACCCCTCAACCAGGAGAGCTCCTTGCTGCTTGAATGACAAGAGCATCTGCACCTTGTCGATGTCCACTCCGATCTCAGGCCGGTGGAGGATATAGGTTTCGTGGCCTTGGGCTAAGCTGGCCTTCACCAGCCTCCTCCCCAGATAACCAGTACCCCCAACTACAAGAACTTTGCTCTTCCCCATCTCTCTGCAAGTTCGCAGATTCCAACTTTTCTGAATTCTCATATATTTATAACAAATGGCACCGTGTCTCTCTCAAATTTTGCCAGCTGGTAACAAGCAGCCTCCTTAGTCCTCCCTTGATCACTTGAAACCGAGATGTTCCCAATTCACGGCTGCGATGTTCTGTGAGGTTGGTGTGAGGAGAGTCATTTTCAAGAGAGAATAAACCGGCCGGTTTCCTTTAACTTGTTATCTAAATTAAGCAATATTAATTTCCACCACTCAATTTGCTACCCAACCAGTCGGGCCTTCAAAGAAAGAGGAATGCAAACCTTACTGTTACGTAAGTTGGACTAGAAAATTTGGAAAATAGAGGTATATTTTGGTCAAAAATAATTGTATGAATATTTCCCACATTTTCATGCCTTTTGTTAAAGGATTCTAACAAAGGAGGTCTACTTCAATTGTGTTATAAAGTTCAAAGGGGATGATTGCAATTATCAAACTTCAGAGGCATTTCAGCAATGGTCAAAAACTTCAGGGGAGGTTTCACTAATGGTCAAAAACATTAGGGGAGGCTTCAGCAAGTTTTCCATAAAAATGATGTTTTAAATCTATCTATACTATATTATATATAGCAACATAGGCTTCAGTAAGTTCTTCCATTCCCCCTTCTCTCATTTGTCATTCACACTCTCTCCTTTCTCCCTTACCTCTTCCCAACCCTTCCATGTAACCTAAAAGCTCTATCTTCATTACTAGAGCCCCATTCCATCTCTCTCTCTCTCTCTCATGTTCCCAATCGCTCAACCCAAAATTATCTCTTACCTAAAATTACTGAAATTCCTCCTAAAACACCTCTTAATCCATATTACATGTTCAATAAACAACCTAAAAACCAAAAAAGTGGTTCAATTAATAAGTTAAATTAATTTGGGTAGTTAAATTAATTTGTAAAATATTTTTATATTTTCAATGGTTATTGATATTATTAAATATTATTCAGTAAATATTAACACCTAAACTATAATTTTTCAAAATTTTGATAAATTAAAAATTTTAATTACTAAAAATTACTGCTTTTGGTAATTTAATTTAAAAAATATTTTAAAATTAAATATTGAAATCAATAATTACTAAAAAACAATAATTAGTGATTTTGGAAATTTAATTTAGTGAAATTTAAATTATAAAAMTTCTAATTATTCAAACAAGTAATTGGAAGGTTTTAATAATTTTCATAAGTATTGRATACCACATTTATAATTACCATAATAATTGGAATTGTATTAATGGGTTTGGGTAGATTTGTTCACGGGCCGAGTCGGGCTTTACCTTTACATTAACAGAAAATGTTCAGGCCCGAGCCCGAGCCCGAGCTGACCATTGGGCCTAGGTACTGAGCCCGAGCCCGGCCTGACTATAAAGCCCAAAGCTCGGGCCCGAGCCCGAGCCCGACTAGAAATTTGGAAAAAAAAGACTTTTCCTTTTTAATTCAATTAAGAGTTGTTTTATTTATACTAAAAGACCTCAAAACCTAAAAAATAATAATGAAAAGTCTCATTATTACTTGAAAAAAGAGAAGAAAAATATATTATATATATGCTTTTTTATTATATAAAATATATTTTTATTAATATAATACATCATCAAGTCGGGCTCGGGCTCGGGCTTAGGCTGGGCTTTTTGAGAAAGCTTGAGACCGACCCGAAAAAAAAAGTCGGGCCCGATATTTTAGGCTCGAGTCCAAGCCCGCAGACCTAAAATCTTGTCCAAGCCCGACTTAGATTAGGCCGGACTAGCCCGACCCATGAACAGGTCTAGGTTTGGGGGATGGCTCCCCAGGTAGCAATGGCAATGGGCGAAGGTAGGGATCATACTCCCTGTCCCAACTCCAAGTTTTAAATTAATCCCCCTCTTTGACCGTGATCCCCATCAGGAAAAAATTTGACCTACACCCCAATCCTCAATGGAAACGGGTTCCCTGAATTTTTTAATTAAAAGTTTGTTTTCAAAAATGTATTTATTTAAAATAAAGGAAAATTAAAATGCAAATAATATTTAATATAATATATATACACATATATTTAATATATATAATTAGGTGGGTTGTAGACTTCACTCCCCATCCCCAATTAGATATTCCTATTAATCCCATACCCACCCTATCATTGCTAAGGCAATCTGCATTCCCAAACCCCACTTGGTTAGGGAGGTCAGGTTCTATAGCCCCATAGAGCAATAGGTTTTAAACCCAATAAGCCCTATAATATTATCAGCATGGCTCTCATTTCTTCTTACCATTATTTATTTATTTGTGGTTTTTCTAATTTTTATTATTAAAATTAAATTAAACTACTCAAGTAGCTAATCAACTTTTAAGTCTTTAAGACTTTCATCTCTACTCATAAATTCATCATTAACTCTCTCTTCTCTTTCTCATTAACTCTTTTAATTCTCTCTTCTCCTTAATCATTCCATTAACTCTCTCTCTCTCTCCTCAAATCAATCACTCCACTAATTCTCCCTGCCCCCAATTACTCCATTAAATTGCTTAAARTTCATTTATCTTTTTTCTCTTTTACTTTTTTTCTTTTTTCTTATTTTATTTTATTCCCTCACCTCTCCTCATTAACCCAATAAACCAAAAGCTATTTGCTTAGTAGTGACCACAATAGTTTAAAATTTATTAAACTATTAGTTCATAATAGTTTATAAATTAGTTAATAAAAATATCATAAATAGTTAAATAACCTAAAGATAATGAAAGAGTGGGAGAAAATTCTAAGGCATAGGTCATACCCCTTTCATCATTAACCTATTTTAACATATTTATGTAGGCCTCTTTCACTATTAGCCTATTGTAGTCTAAAGAGAGAATTTTACTCTCATCCAAATTCCATTTATTTGGTTCATATTTCAAATTATATTTAATTGGTTAATCATCATAAAATTATAATTTGAAACCTAATAATTGAAATTAATAAAAGAATTACTAAAGTTAATAAAAATATTAAATTTTAGCAAGTTTTTATCCAGCAACTATTAAAAATTAATAAAAATTAGTAGCTCAAAAATTAAAATTAAAATGCTTTTAAATTCTATTTAAAAATAATTAATATTAATATGATAATTAAAATTCATAACAAAGTAAAATTTTATTAAAAGTAATAAATGAACCATTTTCATTTCATATAAAAATAATAAAACTAATAGTATTCCAATTAGAAATGTCATAAGACTCCTAGTTAGGGATAATGATTTATTACTTAGCCCAACCTGACTAGACCAACAAATTCTCGAGCTCAAGCAACTATTTTTTTCTAAGTTAGATCTAAACTCAAATCTACACCAAGCTAACACATAATGTGGGCAGTAGGGCTAAAAATGAATCATATTCAAATCGGATCAATTGCATTCACATTCGCATTTGATTATAAATCTCAAGATCTGCCTTCGCATTTGATTCTTATGTTAGATTTTGGACAAATTCAGGTTTAATTCATAACCATCTATTGTATTTAAAATGATTAAAAAAATTAAAAACTAACTATTTTTAAAAATATATATGTATTATAAATGTATATAAATATTAGATATTAAATTTAGCATTTTTAACTTTATATAATTATTCATAGTATCTATCTATCTATCTATCTAAGTCATCAAATCAGGTATCAAACTTTTAGAGTCCATTGATAGCCTTAGCGGGTAGGGACCAAACTAGCAACCCCTAAGCTTGAGCTAAAAGTTAGATCCATATATATTTAGGTAACAAGTTTTATATTAATTTGTAAATAAAAATGTTTATATATTTTTAATAATGGACTAAAATTAAATACAATTTTAATTTGAAAAAAACACCATAGTTTCATAATTAACATAGGCAACTTGTCATGTCCTAGGCCAAACAAATATTAATTATTAGGGTTAAAATGTAGGTTAGGTTGGGCCAAGCAACCTTAAAAATTGCTAATACACTATCAAAATCTAACCTATGATCTTTTATTTTTTTAGTTTATCAGGCTAAAGTACAGCTTGCCATGTCAGAAGTCTTGTCCTTACTCAATTACCCAAACCAAGCAATTCTAGAGGGGGTACAAGATTCCCTCTAAAAGCACTAGGACTTACCATGTCCGCATTGCAATCTCCAATTTTTTTCCCAAGAAATTAGGAAAGTGAGAGTGGCTAAGCCCACTAACTAAAAAATAGGAGTGGTTAACTCCACTCCTAGAAAATTTTGTTAGCTGCTTTAATTTTTCAATCTTTATTCAAATTTTTGAAGAATACACGTATAAACAAGGTTTTAAAACCCAACCTAGAATTGGAACCATTTTGTCCACCAGTTTCTAGGTTAGTGGTTCAACCATTCAGTTCGAATGGGCAACCGGTTCTAACTTTAAAAAATTAAAAAATAGTTAAAATAAAAAAATGGCCAAAATCAATAAACGGGTTGAATGGCTGTATAGTTTGGTCGTTCGGGTATATAGGTCACTGACCAAACCAACAACTTTTGGCCAAGGACTAGGTTAAGGGTGAATCATAACCGATTGTTTGGACAGTTCCCAAGCTGAATGATCCAACCATCCGGGTCAATGATGGTTAGAAAACACTACGTTTAAATGTGTAAATCAATGTTCCAATGATTAAACATTTTTAATGACAACATATTAGAAATAGCTAAATTGTAATAGATTTAAATAAAAAAATTTAAATTTTTTTGCCCATTTTTTACCTATTTTAATTTTTCATTTTTTTCAAAATTTTAGAGAATACATGTCTAAACAAGGTTTTAAAACCCGACTTGGAACCAGAACCATTCTGTCCATCGATTTCTTGGTTATTAGTTCAACCATTTAGTTTGAACTGACAACTCATTCCAATGTAAAAAATAAAAATAAAATAAAAAACGACCAAAAACCATTGAACGGGAAGAATAGGTTGATGGTCTAACCACCCGGGTCAATGGGTCCCTAACCAAATCAATGGCTTTTGGCAAAGGACTGAGTTAAGAGTGAAACAAAAC